CACCACTGGAGATTCGACAAAGACAGTTAGGGGAGACCCTTTATGGATCTTTGTATCCACCAAAGAAAGAGTTTGGCTTTCAAAGGGTTAATGTGATTGCTTAGGCACCATTGCTCAGGTTATAATAGAGTGAGAGTGTTGCCTACTTTTTCAGTGGCATTGGTTCAGGAAGGATTTTCCCTTAAGGATTTAAAAAAAGCATTGATTTAAGAGTTGTAATGTAAACCTTGAACCAAACCGCACTGAAAAAAAGGTGTAAGATTTAGTTTGAAATAATTTTCACTCAGAAATTGCTAGTACACATAATTACAATGAAACAAGTAACACCAGTGTTGCCAAGTTTCCACCGAATTGGGCTACTTTTTCACTGTTGCTGCAGGTTAAAGTGATTTCCCCCCACCTCCGAAAATGATTTAGATGGAAGGGACCCCAGACGGAGGGGAAAACCACAAAAATAACGTGATTGGGCTAGTTTTGAATAGCAATTGTGTTGGTTTTGTTTCGTAGATCTGGCAACCCTGAGTAACACATTAACATTGACTTAAATGCAAAATTAAGTAAATATAGTCATTTCTGTCATCTAAAATTATATACTAATTCACAAAAAAACAGTGCAACCAGCTGCGAGGTGAATCACAACATTACAAAATGAGATTTAAAGCAAATACATATTTGAAAATAGGACAAAAAGACAAAGATATTTAACTGCTTTAATGAGGGTAAGAACTACAATCCCATAAAGCATTGTGAATGACAATTAAATTAAAAAGAAAAATAAATATAAAACTAATTTCAAGATGTTAATATATTTACATTTATTGCAAAATATGCTCATTATGCATACAAATATTTAAATATTTTGAGAGCATAGGAAGACTTAATTTCCTTGATGTGATTCTCTGATTGGTGGAGATTTTTTTTTAAATTATGGGTAATGTAGTTTTTCACCAGGAATTCCTCTTAAGTTAAAATAATTTGGGCTGATTGCTTCAACATAAGCATATACCATAAATGAACAACCTCGCTGCTCACAGTAGGTCTTTAAAGGTTTATCAGTTGTTAAAAATCTATTTCACTACGGAGAAAATTAATAGGATTTTAACTTGCACAATCCAACTGTTGCACTGTATTGCTCATAGTTGGGGTTAGGGATTGAAATAAACTACTAACCATTATTACATTTTAGCTAAACTTCTATGATTTTTGTCTGTTGGACGATAAAATAACCAAAGAGTTGAATAAACAGTCTCTTTTTTTAAGACTGTGTCTTAAGAACTAGTTTGACTAACTAGGTGCTAATCATTCTTTTCTGATTCAAATTAGACCAATCTACATTTTCATGTAACTGACTTCAAAAAGTTATGACTGTTGTGATTGAAAAAATTAGATGACTGAATTTTAAGTCCAAGTTCAATCAGAACACTTGGGGGACACATAAAAATGCAAATCAATTGATTCAATGCAAGTCATATAAAATGCAAATCAATTTGATCAATCGTATTTTATCTTTTAGGGGGACAACCAAACTGAAGTCAAACAAACTCTAGTCTACAACAAAAATCCATTGTGAAAACAATCACTGCACTGATAGTACCGGAGATTCATTTTGTGATGTTGCCAAGAGACTTGTTAAGCTAGTGGAAACCTAACTCTGCTAATATCATTACCAGATCGGCTACACTGAGAAAAGACAACCGGGTTGTATGCGAGATCAGGGTGGTGGTGGATTGGGGAATAATTTCTGGGCTCTATCTCCGTGGTGGGGGGCAAAACGGCAGCTTCAGCACGCAACACAGGAGATGGATTTATTAGCCCTGTGGTTGGCATGACAACAGCGCCTGTGGATGGAATAGAAGATTGTTGCTAAATTGTTCCATCTGTTCCATTTTCCAGTTGTAGAATGGAGTTTGCCCTGCACGGGATTTGTGCTCTATAGACGAACATAGATGTAGACAATTCCTGGAGAGATTATTCTAGATGAAGCCATGTTATCATATCAAGCCAGTAAGTAACTCGCACTCTAGTATCGGATGGCAGGGACCACTGGCTATGAATGATCTTATGTGCAATCAAACATAAAATCTAGTTTATCACTAAAGTTGACAAAAATTATATTTTGTCAGCAGCGAACCAAAGCACCAATTATTGGCATTTGTCTTATACCGTGTCCCATTTTAATCAAGGGTGGCATCTACAATGGATATTAAAATATTTTATTTAATATTTAAATATTATAAATGAATTTTACTTATTTAACCACAACCTGATTTTGAGTCAGTCAGCAAGTCTATATATAAAAAAATTATATATATTTATTGTTGTATCATAACCAGGTTGTTTCAATTCTCTGATTGGTGGAGATTTCGTTGGAGAATCTGTAGTTTTTCCACCAGGAATTCTGCTGTTGAGCCCTATTTTAAAAATAAGCTAAAATAGTGTGGACTGATGTCATGTAAATGCATGTACCAGTCATCAACAACCTTGTAACTCTGCCTTTAAAGGTTTATGCGTTCAAAATCAATTCCCCTATGGAGAAAACTTTTGGGATTTTGGGAGGATTTTTGTTGCTGAAGTCTAACCTCAAGCTTGTAGCAGATTCATCTGTGTTAGTGAACATTTGATGTTTCCCATCTAGACAGTGTTAGTCATCAACATTCCAGATCATTCCAGCATCAAAGCTCAAAATTCACTTCATTTTATCTGTATGAAACACTTCCAGTAAACACTATCATTGCAATTGGAATTTTCACATCTGTCTTTTGCTATTTTCATTTGCCAGACATGTGCTTTTGTAGTGACAGATAAAGTTAGTCATATTCTAAAATATTCTTCATAGGTGTGATCCAATTAGATATTCATGTGTAGACTTAATATGCTTTATCCAAAATCACTTTTATTTGGAGGTGAAGTTTGACCCAGACATTTCTTGATGGTTTTCACCTTTTATAGCATCACAACAACATAATTTAGCTCTAATTAGTGGGCAAACTGAACATGAGAACATTTTTTTCTGTTTTGTTGTTGCATAAGCTTTGAGATGCGGCAGATGGTGTGTTTGGTGGTTCTTTTATCTGTAACGTTTTTTAGCTCTGATTTAGTGTCAAGATCTAACCGATCTCACCTGCTGCTGTGAATGCACACGCTCGTGCTTCTGTAATGCTGTTTGCATTAACTGTCTCACACTGCAGGAATCCATCAGCCCACAGAAAGCCCATCTGGAATGCAGTATCTCAGAAACAAATCATACAGAGGGTTTGGCGACCCACCTTGTTGGCTTTCCAATGCTAGATTGTAATTTATCGACTTTTATCCCCGCTTAGGATTTATTTCCAAGAGTTTGGCTGTTCCTCTCAGATTGTAATTGGGTAGCATTTGAAGCATGTGTTTGTCTTCCAAAGACTTCAACAAACACACCATTTCGAGCCAAGTTACGTCACTCAGCGTCTTTGGCATAGAGAATGCGGAGGCTAAGACTAATTTTAAATTAAAGACATGTTTGTGCAAAGACTGATGGGGGAAAATGCACCTCACACATGTGATGTTACCCGATGCAGAGCTGCAGCAAGGACACTAAAGGTGATAAAGCACTACATTTTTAGGTGAGTTAATTTTGCATGTAAATGTTCAGAGGTTCACTTAGACACTGTGCATTAACAGTCAGTTTATTTAACCTTTTGGAATGTCAGAACATTTGGAAAATTCACAAAATGTGCACAAAACATGCTTCACAACATAATTTGAGACAAAACAGTACTGCAATGCAGTTTAGAAGTCACGTGTGACTATTTAGAGTGGTCTGATCTTGGATCGGTTTTTCTAAACCGCAGCACTCATCGATTTTGGGTTGATTTAGGATCGGTGAGAAACACTGAGTAATCACAGAGGAGCAGATGTGTCGAGGTCGTCTGCTTCCTTATCTGACTTTTTCCACTGTCCTTCCATCAGTTTGGCAATGGAAATTCAGTGCTTTAGAAGTGGTTCTGAAATTCACCCTGGTACACAATTGGTCCTAAATCAGTTGGCAGCTTTCTTTTGTTTTGCAGCTTGCCTGAAAAAACGCAGATAAGGCAGTTCTCGCTGTGCTAGCATGAGCCTGCCCCCAACCTTCATCAGCACTGCATTTATTTTTTTGTATGATTTACTGACGGAGGAAACTTATAAATTTCTGCTGTTATACTCTTGGAAATGTTGCAGATAAAATCGTTGTTGAAATGTTTGTGGTAGTGAAAACAGAAATGCAAAAGTTTTTAGTGTCATTTGTGGTTGGTGCACGTGTTCAGGTCATCCTGTTAGCATTCCAAAAAATGTTGCAATGTTTCATGGGTGCTTAACGCTTTGAAAGATTGCTCCCATTTCTGCATCCCCTGATCTTTTTTCCCCTCATGTTTTTGCACTTTGTTTTGCTTTTTCCTCCCTCCCTCTATCTATTTCTTCCCATTTCGCTCTTCTTCAAGGTACTCTCTCTTTCCTCCTTTCTGTCTCTTTGGCGTTCTTTCACTCTCTGTGTGTTTGCCAGAGGGAGGTTCACTTCATAGTCTTGGCAGCATTTTGTGTAATAAACTCCACACTAACGCTGGCTCATAAACAAATAAACCCAGGCACTCTGCGACGTAATTTCATCAAGTCCTCCCCCGTGCTCTTTTTGCTCCCCTCCCAAGCCAACGAAGCAGTCCGTCTGTGTGAAAGGCTCCCAGTCTTTATAAGCTCTCTTCTGGTGTCTCCCATAATTCTGTGTTTGTGTCTGTGATTCCACTCTCGTGTCATGACGTCATTCTGAAAGCTTACAGCTCTCGGTGGACAAAAACAGATGGTTGAACTTTTAGCAGGAAAGGAAACAATGCCTCCTTGGTGCCTTGTTAGCTTTGGGTATTAAGTTATAGAGGACAGGTAAGGATATAACAGATTATAAAGGTTTACCAACAATTACTATGTTGACTATTGTGGTTTACATCAACACATTTCTTGCCAACTACTAATACTCTTCTCCCATTTGATTCTAGGGTTTGTGCTTCCATCTGATTTGAAGAAAACCATGAAATCCTCTACTTGCAGCACCTGAAACAGATTTACATAATCAAGACACAATGGAAGAGCCGTACAAAGATTCTGTAGCCGTAGACATGGCAAACCCTCAGGAAGAGGTCTGCAATAGTGGAGCCGCTGCCACTGATGCAGTTGGGAAAATCGAAGGGGAAGCCACTCCAATTATTCCAACTGAGACATGGAATGTCAGCTCTCCAACTATCACAAAGCGATCCCTGTCGCCCCTGCTAACAATACAAGCCACACCGGTGGTGACCCCGGCTGCAGAGTCTCCCAACGGTGTTGCCCTGAAGGTTGCTACAACTGTGCTTCAGCCAATCTGCTTGGGGGAGAGTCCAGTGGTGTTGCCAATCCTTGCTGGCCCAGCTGCCCCTCAAGTTGGACAATCAGGGGCTACTTCATATCTGATGACTAGTCAGGGTCCTGTGTCCCTACCTCTGGTCTTGGAACAACAAGTCCTCCAACATTTGAATCCTCAGTTGCTTCAACAAACAGCAACTTGTCCTGCCCTGCCGCTACAGAACAGCATCCTGTGCCAGAACCCTTCTCTTGCTCTTGGAGCACCTCCAATCCTGGACCAGAAAGGCACAAGTCCAGTGTTGGATACCAGTCTACTGACTCTTCTTCAGAACCCTAACTTTGCAGCCATCTTGCAGGACCTCTTCCCTGGCCAGGGGAACTCTTCTCCAACTCGTCACCCAGCATCTTCCCCGCAGGTCGACCTTGCCTCTGCGTTTCTTCCTCTTCCGCCTCTCTTGCACCCCTACAGCTCTCCACTAGCCCCTCTGGTGCCACCAGCCACCCTGCTAGTCCCTTATCCTGTTGTAATCCCACTTCCAGTGCCTCTTCCAATCCCAGTGCCAATCCCTGTCCCGGTCTCCATGTGCAAGGACTCCAAGATAGAGATAGACCGCCCTAAACCGGCTTGTACTTCTAGCAAAAGCACCCAGACTTCACCTAGTGACATCTGCCCTCACTTGACATTTACCAGCAAGGAAATGGCAGTAGTCCAACAGCCTCTTCGCTCTTGCTCGTCCCCTGTAGTGACAGACGGAGAAGTGCTAGATTTATCCATAAGGGCGCCTCAACCTTCAATGCATGTTGATGTTCCACAAGGGATCCAGCCGTTTCAGCAAGACCGTGTCCTTGATTTGTCTATACCTAGTACAAGAAAGACATGCATCCAGACTTGTAGCATGTATGGGCCATTGGCCCCGGAGCGGGAGAGGGTGTGCCACATGGTGGACGATGTTAGCAGTGGGGCTTTGGCTCTTGGGGTTCTACGGCCAGTAGACTGCACACCAAAGCTAGATACCAAGCTGCTAAGTGGTTTAGCATCTCTAGAGTTCAGCAGACAGCACAAGTGGGTGGTAGACAGCGGTCACGGCAGCGCAGTGGCTGGGGCGGTACGTAACTCTGCACTCACCGGAAGTGGCAACATCGAGATCGTCAGCACATCGCAGACAGCCAAAGTCATTGTGTCGGTCAAAGATGCCATGCCTGCCATTTTCTGCAGCAAGCTAAAAGGATTGTCAGGCGTTTCTACAAAGAACTTTTCCATAAAACGTGATGCCAGTCAGGGGGGCTTCGCAACAATGCCCAGGGTCCCGGGGGATCAGCGAGGAGAATCCAGTGACCCGCTCAAAAAGATCTCTAAAAACAGAGGCATCAAACTGAAGAAAGTAAGCTCCCAGGAGATTCATATACTGCCCATAAAGAAGCAGCGACTGACGGCGTTTCTACCTAGAAAATAACATATGCTCTTGCTTTCAGAGGGAGAAGGGAAAACCAAGGACATAAGCAATGAAACCGCTTCTGAGGTGTAGCTAGGTAAATAACTACAGTGATTGGTCTGAGAAATATATATAACCAGGGTATGATGATGCTAAATGCATTCCTGGCAGAAATAAGCCCTAAAGCTTTCTCTCCAAGCTGTCCAAATGATTTAGACTGATGCAGGGTGCCTCTGGTCTGACGGTTGGCGTTTGATCCATTCATTATTAAGCAATCAGACGAAGTCAACAGGAAAATGCTCCAAGTAAAAGAACCAATCTGAACTGGCTAAACTGCGCTACTACTGATATCCTTTAGCATTTTCAGCATTAATGCCAGAATCGAATCCCTTCCTATGCATTTAGATTTTTGGTCACACGTCCTCATGAATGATTCATTACGCGTAATCTGCATTTTCATTAATATGCATGAGATCTGTTTTGAAACCTGGCCAGCTGTCAGTGAGAAACACAACGTGCAGCACTGACAGATTCTCTTCTCGCTAATATGCTTTTGCTGAATTCTTGCTCTCCTCTCGCTGTTTACACTTGGAGTGCAAGACGTTTCCCATTTTTGGTCCTAATGAACTGTAGAAGGGAACCGTGACCTTTTGCTTCCCTAATCACTGTATTAATCAGTGGGGCATTGGAGTGGAGCATCCTCTTTGAAGAACAGGAGGGGTAAGCAGTTAGCATGGCAGCCTGATAATGACTTGGCAAAGCCCAGACCTCGGTTTCATTAAGTCTGATGATTGGAGGAAATGGTTGTCAGTGGCAACAAAGCATAATTTTCATCATCCTCCCTTCGGGGGGCAAAAAGCCTCCCTCCACCCACCTACCCCAAACTAAATTAAAACTAAATAATCATCAGGGGTTTGTCCCTAACGACAACAAATCTGAGTGAAATGGCTTATTAATGCTGTTTTTGTGGCCTCGTGGTCATTTTTTAGATTATTGTCAGCCAGCTGTGTGAACACACAAGGAGAGTTTCACTTGCAAGAGTGTACAGATTTTAATGATATTTATAATGACGATCTTAATAAACCTTCAGTGTTTTAGATGAAATATTGCAGACAATGGACGTAAAGAGTTAAAAATCAAGCATCTATCCCTCAGCAAGCAGTAAGATCATTTTTCCTTCACGGTTGAACCTGGTTTTCTTTATACATGTTACTGGACATATTGTGCGAAGTCCATCAGTGTATGTTATTCCCTGTTTTTTGTAATCTTTCATGAAAATAAAAAAGCTTTGTAGGTGATGTCAGCAAGGTTGCACAAGCAATTGGCTAATATTAAGGCTATTGGGTCACTGTTTTAAGCTACTGTTGTGGGTAATGCAGTAATCTTGTAATAGATAATGCAACTATTTAATGCCAAGTAACATTACAGGAAAAGAGGCTACGGCAATAATAGCAAATGATGATAGAATTGAAAGTGTTACCATTTGAATATGTGGAGATGCTCTTGAGGGTGAACTTGACCTTTAGTCCCAATCAAAACGCCTCTTCATAAGTGTGTGCTGGTTATATTTACAATCCACCGCAAACTCCCCTTTAGGTTTGGCTTCATTCCCCCGCTTTTCATGATCAAATACACCTCTGATGGATAAAATCAAGTGCCACCCTACTTTCTTTTTTAACTTTAAACCTTTCATTAAGAATTTGGATTATGAATGCTGCTTTATGAATGCACTAAATCTGTGTAAATCTTTGTTGCTTTCATGTGGCTGGTGGTTTGATTGATAGCACGAGGGCGTGTTTCGAAACGCAGGTTTCCACCCTCTCATTAACCTTCTGATCATCCCAGCCAGTTTAGTAATACTTATTAAAACCCTGGTACAGTTGACAGACACCAGGTCACAAACTGAATACTGAATCAGATACATTAGCCCTGTGAGTATGTTTTTATAGCACATGTCATCCCAGTATCAAAAGAAAATACACATAATATATATATATCTCCTGTTTTTAGAACCTTTTTTGCATTGTGACATTTTCGTGACTACTAAACACATTTTCCCTTTTTGTTGTAATGTCTGGAGGGTTATATAATATATAAAATGTTCATATTAACATTAATATAAAGTTATAATACTGTCACAATGTATAAATCCCGTACAATTTAAATTGTTACTTTTTTGTGCATTCATAATAATGAGAATTTGGGTGGAAAATGCTTAATTATGATGAAAGTATCACAATGCAAAAAAAAAAGCGTTTCATTTTCTTTAAGCAAAATCTAATTTCTTTTAAATGTTTGGGTGCAATATGACTTGCTGGCCTGTTCTTGACAAGTTTTGTGAAATTTAACCAAAAATATCTTTTCTGAAAAACGTGTAAAATCAGTAAGAGATTTTATTCTATATAACACGTTACATACTTCAAGCATCCCAACCGTAAGATCATCTCCACAGTCAACGTTTTGACCTTGAGGCACGGCCAAACTAAAATCAGTCTCATTTGGTTTTGTGTAACATTTAATATTTTGTTTTCATGAAGTCAGCTACCAATAAGATGGATTGGCTAAGATGAGAATTGACTTGTCCTTCGTGCCACTTTCAGCAGAATCGAAATGAGATTCTAGACACACCATCAGAAGTGTCCATAGAAAGAAAAATGCAAGCGAAACAGGATTTATTTGACATGTCAGTATATGAAATGTGCCGTCTCGTGTTTGTTTTTTGGAATTCCTGCAGAAGGAAAATCAGGAAGGCGTCTTTTATAGTTCACATCCAGCCAGAAAAGGTTTTCATGTAGAACTCAACAAACTTTCTCCAAATATTATCTTGACAGATTTCCTCCGTTTTCACAGTACGCTCAAGTATCAGGTTTACAGTCAGCACCAAATACGTTTGATGAACTGCTGTGCAACTCTGTTTTTTCATGTCAGTTCTAAAGTGTTTTTAACTCTTAAAGCCTCGCAATAAAAATCATTCCTGTTTTTTTTCTTGTTTTCCAATAAATATCTAAACATTCTTAAATCAAGATGTATTTATTTGAGAAGCAAAATGATGTCTTATTTTCTGAAAAATGATATATATTAAAGTAAATGCATCCTGATTTAAGAATGTTACATAGAAAGTCATATTTTGCAGTGCAAGTCATTTTCCAGCATGTGTATATTCTCAGATCTACACAAAAAACAATCAGCATGAAAACCTGATAAATAAACCATGACTGTTTTTAGGATGTGAATTAATTTATGCGTCAGACGACCCTCTAACTCTTTTATAGGTATTGAAATTTTAAGTATTGAATGTTTTTTTTGTTTTTGTTTTTACCATGAAGAGCTTTTGTAAACAACCGAACGAGTAAAAGAATGAAACGAAGAGTCTGGTGGTGTTTTAAATTATTTATTTATTATTTGTATCGTTGAAAATGTGTATGTGACGAATGCAGTAGCTTTAAAAATTTCATGATTAAAAACGTCTCCGGTATCAAGATCGAAGCGTGTGTGTGTTTTTGATATTCAATCGTTTGATGAATCTATATGGCACAACTTTACAAATACATGTGACTTTTATTTCTTTTTATTTTTTATTTTTTTTACAAAAGTCCACAAAGGAACTGAAAAGTCTAAACAATCACATTCACGACTAACTTGAAATGCTACGTTACAAAAGATGGGAAAACACCTGAGGAAGTCTCAAAGTAAAGCAAGGCAGTTTGAACACAGCTATTCAGAATTGGACGTTTCTTCCCGGTAAAAAGCGCTGGAAGGCAGTACAAGGTATATTAAACGACAAATCCCAAATAAACAGCCCCCCATAACGTAACGTGTCGTCACACTTCCCACCTCCATATACAACGTGTTTAGCTTAAAATATTTCTTCTCTACAAAATTGTACATTCCTGTTGCTGAGTTTTATGGTTAAACCCATAATACACTTGATGTCTGATCTATTAATGAAAATTATAAAATATCAACATAAACTTCGAGATAAAGCCGGAAGCTGGCGGAAAACACGCTGGCGTTCACATCAAATTCCCACTATTTTAGTGATATTTCTAATGATGCTTCATTTGAAATGAACCAGTTTTGACGGCTTTCAAGTTCTCGAGTGGCAAGCTTGTTCATTTCTCCACGGCATGCTGCGTTTCCGTCTCTTGAATACTGTTCTGAGGCTGCTGTAGATGTCAGGTTAACGTCTGACCCTGACTTCGCAACACAAGTCAATCCAAACATTCACAAGATAAGAGCTCGACGAGTTTCTGCAACAAAGACGAAGCCAACTCAAACAGCGTTATCTCAAAAGCATTATGTCCTCAGAACGCTCAGGAACATCGATACTCCCGACACTCCAGACTAAACATCAAAATACATACATCGCCGTAGAGGGAAAAACCGCACACGGGAAACTATATGAGATATATGACAGAATAAAAACTCTGACGATGTTTCTCAAAGCAGGTTTTTTTCAGGGATTAAACCTACTAGATTTATGTATTTAAATGGCATATTTCACAGTTTTAACTTTAATGCGATGCATATTTGTCTGTCAAACATCAATGAAACGGGTCAGATTTCTGAAATAGTACTAATAAACTGAATGTGTTTTAAATGCACAATAACCAGGTTCATGTATTTTACATTTATATTTATAAATTATATATTTAGCTTTATATAAGTCCACATACATTAATTGAATTTTGCTTTGTCATATTTAACCATGTTTATACTTTTAAACGGAATAAATGCACTTGTTTTCACAATTAACAGATTTATGCTGATTCCAAGTGATTTTAATAAAAGCATTTTGAAATTATTTAAATGGTCAAATATAACCATGCAATATTTTGAGTGTAAAAAAAATCAGACCTTGTTTTAATTTATGCACGACTGACAAATATGAGTTGCATTAGGTTTATTATTATTGAAGTTTAGTTTATTATAAACATTGAAGATTTACTTGTGAACACTCAAATTTCATCTCCAGCCATACAAAAACAAGCAGGGTCTGTTTGGTCAAAAATAATTTCGCCAATGTAGCAGAATTGCATGAAAACGAGCAGCATGAACATTCTTCAAAACGTCTCTTTTTGTGTTCGACGGAGGAAACAAAGTCGTACGGCTTTGGACCGTGAATGATGATGATTGGCCGAACGTTTCCCTTAAGATCGTGAAACTTGATGTGTTTTGTTTGACGCCAACGAAATACACAAACGAAACGCAACTAAAAAGCAGATTTTCAGCGGCTGTAAGTGACTTCAGAAACACCTGTGGACTAGTATGATGTCACAGGGAGGTAGAGCGATACATAACCAACCTCCGACTCAAAAACCACCACTATGGGTGGGATCATCGGCCCGTAAAGCGTCTGCATCTTTGGGGAGACGAGATGGCAGGAGGTAAGAACCGAGCGCACCTTCGCTCCTGTCGATCTCATTCGACCGTCGTTCCCAGAGAGCGGCACTAATGTTCCTCAAAGTGTGCTCTGGCTGCAGATGAACGTCTAGGAGAGACGCCGTGTGTGCGTGTGATAATGTAGAGACGTGCGGCGCTGAGCAGCACACAGGGATTTCCCATCAGCCCCCTCTGTAGCAGCGTGTCGGTGTGGAGGAGAGGTTTCTGTCCGTGTGTTTCACTGCTTCCCCTGCTTGAGTCTCTCGATGTGGTGGCAGAGTTTGAGCGCCGGTCCGAGTTTCAGCCCCATGTACTTCATCACCATGTCGCTCCTCAGTAACATCAGAGCTTTACCGTCGATCTCCTGCAGACAGTAAGAACATGAGGCTTACCACAGTTAAACACAAAATGTGCGATGATGTCAACACCAGTGGCGGCCAATCAGAGGCTCCGATTTATGACCTACACCTGATCCTTCATAAACGTCAAGGGATAGTACACCCAAAAATGATTATTCTGTCAAACCTGTATGACTTTATTTCTTACTTTCTTTTGAGGAATGTTGAGGACTAAACCACATTGGACCCTATTTATTGTATGGGGGAAAAAAAACTGAGATGTACAAGCTACTCATAATTTAAACTGCAAAAAGCAGTCAAGTTAAAGGGATAGTTCACCCATAAATGAAAATTACCCCATGATTTACTCGCCCTCAAGCCATCCTAGGTGTGTATGACTGACTTCTTTCAGACGAATACAATTGGAGTTATATTAAAAAATGTCCTGGCTCTTCCAAGCTTTATAATGGCAGTGAATGGGTGTTGAGATTTTGAATCAAAATAAAGTGCAAAAACCCGTCATAAAAAGTACTCCACATGGCTCCGCGGGGTTAATAAAGGCCTTCTGAAGCGATGCGTTTGTGTAAGAAAAATATTTATCGTATCGGTACAGTCGGTGGAGGAGAGGTTCCTGTCCGGTTGTATTTAACTGTGGTGAAACTCGTGTTCTTATGCCCAAGTCATCCGCTGGACGCCGCTCTCTCGTGAATGTGTGTACGACAGTTAGCAGAAGCTAGAGATTAAGGTTTATAAAGGTGTAAATATGGATATTTTTCTTACACAAACGCATCGCTTCAGAAGGCCTTTATTAACCCCCCGGAGCCGTGTGGAGCACTTTTATGATGGATTTATGCACTTTACTGGACTTCAAAATCTCAACACCCATTCACTGCCATTATAAAGCTTGGAAGAGTCAGGACATTTTTTTATATTACTCTAATTGTATTCATCTGAAAGAAGAGTGTCATATACACCTAGGATGGATTGAGGGTGAGTAAATCATGGGGCAATTTTCATTTTTGGGTGAACTGTCCCTTTAACCTTTGAAAAAAACAGTCAGCTGTAAATATATATTTAAATAAATATTTTTTATATTTAATTATTGTGTTTACTGTTTTTTTATGGTAAATAAAATGATCAAATAAATATTAAATATATATTTTAAGTAATTAAATATTTTGATTTTAAAAACTATATAATATTATGCTAAATAAATTGAATCATTTTTATATTATACAGTTTATTTAAATACATTTAAATGTATTCAATACCTTCCAAATTACATAATTTCAACAACTAAAAAATCTGAGCAGTATTTACTTGGTATTTATGTCAAGGATCTCAGTCTGCATGCACATAAATCTATACTAAATATTTCTAGTAACACCAAATCATAAACATAGTGACAAGCTATTCATAATATAAACGGCAAAATAAGTCAAGTTATCTTCTTAAAAAAGTGGTCAGCTGCAAATAAATTTTAA